CTCCCGCAGAAAATGGAGGCAGTGGAAAAACGCTATCCACAGCATCCAAAACAGCATTGCCGAGGCGAAAAGGGAGCGCGACTGGAAAAGTTTTCCAACTGTGGCTGCTTTTCTCACAAATATACTCGGGGGGGTCTAGGTCCACAGGTCGCTATGTGTGTGAGTTACGAAGGTAAAAAATTGCCAAGAGTTTGAAAACAAGGCAGCGGGCTAACCTTTTCCACTCAGACCCATTTTTCGCACTCCCCGAACATTGAGTGGGTAAAAAATTAGGTTAATTTTAGGTGTGCTATGGATTGATGGGTCTCCATCCAAAAGTACTTGGCAAATAATTGATAAACATTGGACGTGAACCAGGAAAGGTCGAGTTGGTACATTTTAGGTCAGAGTTAAAAGCATTGATTTAAAATATATATTTCCCATGGGTTTTAAGTTTTAAATTAAAACAAAATTAGATCGCAACCAATATTAATTTTTTAAATGAAATGAAATCATTTGAAAATTCTAGCAATATTAAATGATTATGAGCGTTAATGTTTTTCTTTGGCCCTTTTCTTGACTCTGTAGGGGAGCTCATTTAGTATTCTTTCATTGCAAACTTGTGCGCTTCAGTAGTGCGATTTTTTTTTTGCTAACATTTCTTCATTGCTCACCACATTGTCGTCGCTTCATTAAGAAAGTTTTTCTTTACAGTTTTCCTAACATAAATGCTGAAAACTTAATTTCTTCTAAGTGAACTTGTTAAGTTTTACTCGCCATTTCCCCCTATTTCTCTCACCATAGCCCCTTAGTTTCTCGGCACATTTTTTTGTTACTAACTTTGAGGGTATTCTATGAAGGGTTGTGGATAGTTGGTTCTGTTGTTTTGTGGGCAACTTTTAGGTTTTGCTTCGCCTGTGGCTGTCGCTGACACTTGGCTGCCCGCATCTATTTTTTTTCTGTTCCGCGTCCAACTTTAAGCGCATTAAAACGGTAACTCTTTGGAGGTTATTGGCGATGTTCGCCGGGAAAAAGAAATCTTAAATGTTTAATTTTAAGAATTATATAAATTTAATTTCTAATGTAATAATTGGTAATTTCTCAGCTTGAATGCTTTCATTGATGTGCCAGTAATCAAACTATTTGTTTCCTTTCGCAAGTCAACACTAAACAAATGTGTTTCCCAAAGTGCCATAATTAAGTGGTTAAACATGACTGAAGTCTATCGAAACACTTTTGCTGACTTTAACGCCAGACATTGAAAAGTGCATCAAATTTCAATTAAATCAGACACACATCAGCACTTCATAAACATGAATTGAGTTTGGGGCTATGGTCGAAAAGGCCCAAACCCGATCCGACCAGACTGCCAAGGAGACTGTGCGAATGGAGCCAGGTTAGCAGGCGATGCACATTCAGTCAAGTTAAATGAACCGCATCTATTGACTATCTCCCTTCCTTTCCCGGCTGCATACCACTCTTCCTCTCTGGCTCGTTGTCGCACAGTGTCTAAAAATTTTACAAATTTTGATGAATTTGCAATAGAAAAAACTATCATTTCAGTTTTATAAATAACCTTTCTTTCAGATCTTGTGTGATATACATTTAAATAATTATAACTTATTGCTTTATCTCGTTCTAACAATATTTCTAGGTTAAGCTTAAAAAATAATGAATCTATTAAAAAGCTGCAAATGATTTATAATCTCAGCTAATAAACACAAACATTTAATACAATTTTTATGATTTAATGTTTCATTAATTATGGAATTATGGAATTTTTTTGTTTTCATATATTTTACTATTTTTTAATGATATTTTTCCACTGTGATTGTGCCCAATGCCTAGAATCAAACGACGGTGATGGCAAATTTTGCTTTTGAAGGCAACATAAATTTTTCAAACGATTGACTCAGCAAAATGACCATGAATGTGTGACATCAGCAGCGGCTTGGGTCGGGGCAGCCCCATTTCACCCTCCCCACCGTCAGTTCCTCCCACCTTTGTCGTCATTATCGTCCTGCGACAGGACAAACAGACAGAGACAGTCTGAGGGAGCGAGGGCATCCTGTTCTACGGGAGCCGGCAAATATCCAGATGTAAACACGTGCATTGCCAGCTTCCGTTATCAGTCAGCTTGTTTGCCAGACAGCCGGGCCATTTCCATCGGACACGCCCACCTGGCCAACCAAGCCCACCTGGCCAAAATACCTCCCACCTCATAGTATTTCCCATTCGTCTATATTTGTCTGCTTATTGACGCTTTGAAGTCCGTTGAAGTCGTACAATTTTCTCGCTCCTAACTGAGTAGCTGTCTTGACTCTTCTGTTTGCTCGTGTGTTGAAAATTAACTTTGAAAGATTTCCGCTGGCATCAAATTGCTTGACATCGCATTTACGGTTCAATGGCTTTAATTTTCACCTTCTATTAAGCGAGAATCAGGATATGTTAAATGCTGTGTGGATTTGATATACAGTACGTATGATTGATTTAATATGACAGCCATGTCGAAAGCGGCACCAATAAATCTATTCAAAAACAACGAAGACTGAAAATGCATTTAAATATATAAATTTTATTAAATATATGTTGAAATCAAACAATAAAATTGTATTTTAGGTTTTATTGTATTATATTGCAAGTAATTTATTATTTATTTATGACCATTAAAAGCATTTGATATATAATTACAATCACACCTTTACAGAATTTTAAAATGTTTAAAACATGACAACCTTCAGCCAGGGCTTAGAATTTAAAATGGCTTTGAGTTACCGCAGGGTTTGCCTCGTGGCATCAAAGTTGTGGTAACTAATAAAACGTGCGGTAAATATTTATGAATTTTTATTTTACGACACCTCAGAAGCATACCAGCTGCAACAATACACTGACCTGTGAAAACAGAAAGCACAAGAACAAACGTCAACCGAAGCTGGCCAACTGGGGAGCTCTATATAATTTAAACTAAGGAAGACAGACAAAAAATTAGCATAAACCGTGAAATGTTGTCTGGCAAAAGAGGAGAACTAAACAAAAAGAAAATCACGTTTTGTAATTACACAAAAGAGAATACACAGACAGGAAACGAACGATTCCATCCTTGAGAAGCTTGTGGCCTTTTCCCCATGAAAAACAAGCGACCAACGGCCCTTGTTTATTTGGGTAAGAAAAACAAAACACAGAACTGAAATAAAATGAAAATGCAACAAAATAATTAAAAATCGTGTGGTGCAGAGGTTGATTTCCCAACATGGGAACTCGGCTTGTCGCCAGTCCGAAATTGCTTATGAATTGTAAACAGGAAGGCCTTTTCCTGCAGCTTTTTGAAACCACAGGTCCTGGCCAGTTTGTTTGTGCTACGTGTGAATTATAGCATACTTTCAAGCGCGTGCAAGAAATTATATTTAAATGGAGACGACTAAATTGTTATGTTGTATGTTGAAATAACTAAGCAGAAAGTAGTTTTTAGAATTATATTGCAGGGAAAGTTATAAATTTTTTAGTTTAAATAAGAAAGAAGATTTTCTAAAAGCATATAATTTAAATTCAAGCTTAACATAATAAATAAACTTATATTGAACAAGCATTATTGTGTGTATATTAACAAGATTTAAAAACTGATTATTATCAACTTCTTTTACAACTTAACTCCTAAAATGTAGGCATTATCTCATTTCCAATGTGCAGCTGTGCACTATGGTCCGAAAACTTATCCATGACCCCAAAACAAATCCCTTTGTAGTTTCATGTGAAGCAAAAAACGAGGAAAAACACCACGAAGGAGCCGCAAACAAATTGGGGATCCCTGGAGTAAGCCTACCAAAAACAAGTCACGTTTCGAGGCGGAGAGCATACACACACACACACACCCACACACCCAGCTGCACACATGCAAACAGCATTGCAGGCCTGTTCGCATAATTGTATTGCATAATTTTAGCACGCGCGCATTCCCTTTCCCCTACCCCAGTCACGACTCCATGCCTTTAGTCCCCCCGACAACCATCACGCTATGTGACGGCAAACTAAGCGCAACCCATAAATACGCCTAGAAATATGCTGCACTATTTTTGTAGCTGCCGCACTTACAGATACACAGACAATTCGCACTACTTTTCTCATTACAAATTGGATTTTGCAGTCACATTTCGCTTATTACGTTCAAAATCCATGCAAATTTCTTTATATATGCACCCAGCAGTTGCAACCCAAAAGTGTTTCACCCATTGAACCGCAGTCCTTGCGCCGTTTTTTTCTTCACACTCAGCAAAATTATTTAAATTTAAAATGTTAGAAGTTGATTTTTATTATTTTTAGGGTACTGCTGTTTTTACAATCACAAAGTTTACAATAGAATAACTTTCCCGAGTTTTAAACAGATATTTAAAAAATTTTTAATATGGTACTATGGTAATTATATTCCAGTGTTATTCGGTGGGTGAGCAGGGAAAATCGGGCTAAAGGAATGATGGGCGTGCTTGCATCTTATTACTATTGCCCACAGATACCAGTGAACACAGAAACATAAACAAACAACTGGTAGCACAATAATATAGAGAGACGGCGGCTGCCAAGTTTATTGTGCAAATATAATTCAGTTTTCTTTTCTCTTTGGCCGCTCTTTTTGTACTCTGACTATATACATATACCCTCCTCATCCTTTTGCCTGCAAATTAGCTGTGTGCAACGTGATAATGCCATTTCTGTGCATTTCGCAAGCTTACTAAGTGCGCTGAAAGAACTTTATTGTCTGCAAAAGTGTAGATTATATAATCATGCTTGTTGGAACACGGTAGAAAGGAGAATTTAAAAAGGCCTTCTGCAACCTAATGATAATCTTTATATGCTAAAACCGAAAAACAAATGGTAGGGGCGACAGTTATATATGTATTGTCATATATTAAACGGAAAATCTTCTAAGCTTAAAGATTCTTAAAGATTCTTCTTTAATTTAAGAAAATATTTTTTTTTCATGCAATTTTCATAGAAATATTCTTTATAAAAATCAAATTATTTGGTTACTATTTCAAAGTTTTATAACGTAAAACAAAAATTAAAATCAAATAGATTTACATTACATAAGGGTACATTGTGTTTTGTAGTTTCCTTCTTGAAGAGACGTAACAGTTGTAATTGGGTCATCAAGGCACTGAATACCCACTCTTGTCAACATCTGGACTGAATTTTCCTGACTGGTGATCTCAGCCTCCACTGGACTGGCAGAAAGATCCGGCACTACATATTCTGCAATCGGATTAACAGTAATCTCCGGTAAAACAAATTCTTTCAATCGGACTAGCAGGAAGCTTCGGTAATAAGCTTTCCTTCATTGGACTAGTAGGAAGTTTCGGTAACTCATTTCCATTACCCGACATCTCGCTTGACACCAAATTGTCGTCATTCTCATCTAAAGTAACTAATTTAATTTTCTTGATACGAGTCATGGAAAAGGGAGATCCCATGTTGACCTGCAGAATCTGATGACGAGCCTTTTTCAGTGGCGGTTCCGAATCACATTCAACACTGGATTCTAAATGGGACTCCTTATCAGAGAAACCTGCTTCTGAAAGAATAGGTATTAAGAGTCGTTGGTTGCTTAATTGGCGACTTACCTGGCGAATTAATAATTGATTTTGATGATGGCTTTTCTTGTGAAATAATTTGTGAATTTATTGGTGATTCTTCTGGTGCCTTCGTTTGTTCCAATGGTAACTCATTGGTGTCGATTTTATTGCCTTCATTAGTGACTTTGCCTTTAAATTCATTCCTTGGTGTTTTTGTTAAGGGCTTCCTGGGCGACTTCGTTGATTTATGGGTTGAGTTCATAGATGATTTGATTAGTGATTTCACTCTTGGATTCATCGTGTCCGGTGCCTTTTGCAAGTCCTTTGAATTTTGAACTCTTTTAGGGGTATCAGAATCACGAATACGCTTTCGACCCCTGATATTTTTAAATGATCGTGGTACGCGCTTTGCCAAAGACGACGGTGTCGCTTGACGTTGAACCTTCTTTATTATGGGGGTCTTGCAAGGAGATTTAAAAGGATGAACCGACTTTCGGTCCTTCATATTCTCAAGTGTTGGTGTTACTCGTTCCATCAATGTCGAGTCACCTAAGTCAAATGCCTCCAACTCCTGCTGCTGTTCAGAAATGACCTTAGAGCGTTGGCGAGTCATATAACTCGGTGTGGATGTGGCTGCTGGTTGGCCGCTTGATATGGTTGTGTTCTCCGGAGTCGAATTATTGTCAGCTGCTCCTGGCACGATTAGATTGTCAGAAGCTATCTCGTTTAAATTCATTTTGGAAAAATATATAAAAATATTATGTTTTCAAATCGGCCTTTTAAGATTAGTTACGTTGAAGAGAGACAAAATTATTCCAAAAATCTGAAAATGAAAAATATCGATAACAACGCTAAATTGGCATTGCAAGAAAAGCCATAGCTTACTATATGTGGGAAATATCAAATCAAATCAGAAATAAATATTTTTAGCCAACCCTGGTAAAAAACTTCTCTTAGATAACATAATATTAAAGACCACAAGTAATAACAGCAACAATGGTATCAAATTTTTTGAAGACCGCAGTCTGTTAAAAAACGGAAGATATTAATTAAATTTAATGCCTGTCTAGAGAAGCGACGATGGCCACTGGCTGGGAAAAGAGCGAAGAGTAACGAGAACCCATGGAAATAACCGCTGCAAAAACTTTGCCAGCTGTATTGCATTACGCCTTTAATTTCATTACAGACCCTGAAGAGGAAAGAGGGGTGGGAGAGTCGCGCCTCTTCTGGGCTGGCCCATAAAATGGAGGAAAACACTTGTAAAGTCTGCCAAGCGGGCAAAAGTGGGAATGAGAGGGTCCTTCCGTACAGTCTCATATTCCATGGCGCCTCATCTCGTCCAGCATTGCAGCTCAGCAGGGGCTCGATGAGGATAATGTTAGGGGTGGAGTCGTGGCGCGGCATTGGGAAAACAGCGGGATCGAAAGGCTCTTGGCGGGATAGAGTTTATTATTTAATACTTTGAACGCCATGCGTTGAAATTAGCAGCCATAAATCAATGAAACGACCCGCACAAGTCCACAATTAGCCAGAAAGAGCGCGACAAACGCTTCGTGTTATATGAACTAGCTTTTTGAGCTAATTAATTCTTATGTTGCACTGCCGGCTAAAGCTGGATTTTGGCCTCGGCTTTAAGGTTTAATTATATTAAAATACTATTTTTTTTTGTCCATGGATTACAAATAATATATTTAAAAATAATTATATAAAAACATATTGTTTTTCTTTAGAAGGTTATTATTTCTTGATAATATCCTTTTTTGATTATCCCTAAATTTTAGCATGGATTTTTTGGTATTATCTGCGATAGAGTTTTGCGGGTAACCCGCATCCTTCATCCATTTCATGTGAAAGTCGATCCAGGGACGCATTTTTGAAACATCCGTGTAGACAGCTGGGATAGGTTTTCCGCAACCGTCTCCAAAATTGACAATGCCCACCTGTTCGTACCGACTGGGATCGCTTTGGAGCGGACAGGCAAGTGGTGCTCCACCGTCGCCTTTGCAACTGTCCTTGCCTATCTCGCCGCCTGCGCACATTAAACTTTTATCGAGAAAAAAGGGTAAATTATAAAAACTTTGAATTTCCTCCTGGCACGTTAGTCTATCCATTACGGGCACCTCGATCTTCTTCAGAATATTCACATAACTGTGGTCGTTGATGTTCTTTTTACCCCAGCCACTGACAATGCATCGGTTCCAGATAAAGTTCCGATTCGCCGATGGCAGACATATTAGATTAATATGGTCAGTTAGAACAAGTGGTCTTGCGAGAAACACAAGGGCAATATTGTTAGCCCCTGTTTCATAGAAGAAACTGGAGTGCCGCACGATCTGCCTGACGGCAACATCTTCATGTCTTCCCTGCTCCTGATTGGAATGAAAATCCCATTCTCCAGCACGGACAATTAGCTCATTCTCATTAAATATTTCGATGACACTAGAGGAAGTGAGGACTACGTTCGCGGAAATAAGGGATCCACTAGCCACATATTGGAAATTTGAGGCATCCAGGAGGGCAATCATCCATGGAAGTTCTCCCTCCTGGGTAGTGTCCTTCAAATTATTTATAGTAAGGATCGGTCCTTGGCTGTTTATGTGGCCACATTGGCGTGTAATCGATTGGGTGTTCGTTGGCTTCCGATTGTTTACCTACGAAGACGACCGATAGTTAATAAATCGTTAGACCTTGATTCGGTTATGATTTGTAAACATTACCATTTCCGTTTTGGGACAGCAGATTTCATTAGAAACACACCCAGAGTCGCCACCTTGTAGAACACGCCAATCTGTAATGGGTGTTCCGCTTTCTAACCCAATCCTGCAGAGATGTCGCGCCACGCACCGATTTTGGTTGGAACCACCACAAAAATTGATCTGGGACTTGCAGTTAGTCATAAGCAGGGAAAAAATAAATAGTTTTCCGTACAGACGATCCATTCTCCAGTCACTTGGGGCGTATGAAGCTAACTGCCGGTTGTTAAACAAAATGACCATTTATATTTTTTTATATATAAAGTATTTATTTATAAGTCAAGTGATATTGAGGTCCAACTTCTTTGAAGTAGAGATAAGTTTGTTTTGATTGCTTTAAGCTTAAAGTACAGTTTTAAAGAGAAAATGTATTTCAGTTAAAGTGAGGTATTATATTGACAGATCCCTGAAATATTTTTGAAAACCACTATTTTGAAGACTACTGAATCGGGCTTATATGGTAAATTTCCATTTTACATTTGAAGAGAACTTTCGGCGCAATTGCTTAACTAATTCCCATGGCCTTTTCAACGAGAATGAGTTAAGCAAACAAAATGGGAGCAACTTTCCTGGCACACATTCGGATGGAATAGACAAGACAAACAGCCAAAGCCAGTTACAACAACGTCGGTGCAGAAAACTTCAACAAGACAAGACACAACACAAGGACAAGGCTAACAGCACAGTCTGGGAGGAGCGGTGTTGGTTGTTTTGGGTGGCAAGTGGGCAAGTGGTAGATGGGCGGTACAACTGGCAGCATGTTGGAGCGTTCTGCGTGACGGTTACAGCATGGCAAACAAGATGGGGCCACTAGTCGTACTGGTAAACTTCTACAACTAATCCTGACTGATGTTGTGACAATATATATACAAACAAGCATCTGGATACACAATTTTATATAGTACATATCTATATATATATATATATGGAGTGGCACAACACATGCTTCGCAGCTACGCTTTGCTGCCTTCTTTTCAGACCCCGACCTCCGTCCCATCATGTTTGCAATTTGTGCTGAAGATTTATGCGTTAGCGCAAAAGTTGCATTTCAAATGGATTTATATAAGAATAAGGAAATAATAACACTGGCAGGAGGAACAGCACTTTCACAGAGGGTTCAAGGCGAATGCTCCGTACGTGAGATTCGCTTTCTCTAATCAGCAATTTCATGCGCAAAAAGGGCTGAGCGAGCAAATGTAATAAAGTGCATGCAGAGTCTACTAACTTCATTGGAAATACAATTTTTAATCATAATGAAAAGTAACTTCATTGGAATTCCATTTCTAGAATTAAAATTAATGTGAATTTATCATGAAAATGCTATTATATTAGCCTTTCTTTGATTAATATATTTTCATAAGGAATAATGTTTGGAATTAATCATAGAATAAAACAGTACTTGTATTGTTTCATTAATCACATTTTATAAAATAAATAAATAAATATTTTAAAAATAATTCAGAACTTTAAGTCTTTGAAATAATATTTATCGTTTATTTGAAAGTCTCTTATTTCACACTCATTCATATTTGTTTAATTTTCAATTTATTTGACCTGCTAATTACCTTATATTGTTGAATAATAAAACCAATTTTTGTTTTTTGCCTACCCCGGTTGAGGTGACACTTGCAATGAGTGTTTTAATTTTTGTGAGAATTATTATTCGCTAGAAATGAAAATAATTTAATGCTGACAGCCACAAAAATTATACCAATTGGTTGTATTAATTAGGCGTAAAACACACCGTGACATGGGAACAATTAAGCAAATTAGTCAGTTAACCTTAATGTCAAGTAAACAAAGCGAAATATATATATATATTGTGCATGGTTGATTAATAATTTGAAATTTAATTGGATTTACTACTACGGAAGAAGGGCCGTTCTTTCAGCTGAAAACTATAAATAAAATACATGTCCGGGAAAAGTTTCGGAAAATGATTGAATGTATTTTCAAAGTCACAGCTGTGGCTACAAGTTCACCGCACTTTCCCCAACCTTTTATTGCAATGCATGTGTGTGTTGAAAAGTTGAGTTCGAGTTTTGAGTAATTTAGCGACACATTTTCCGCCCACCCAACGAAATGGCAAACTTTGTTCCGTGGACCTTAAGGCGGGTGGTTTTCGAGAACCTCCGTCTTCATACCACACAACATAGTTGTTGTGTCTACTATTCTTTTTACACTGTCAGAAATTAATAGTTATAAAGAAGTATATATTAAAATAAGCATTCTGGTGTTCCTGATCTCAGGTACTCCTATACTAACCTTCATTATATTATTTAATTAAATCTACATATATTAAACATCTTAAGAAATAACTATTTTCTATTTTAAATATTCGATTTATCTATTTGATCCGTTCTCTTGAATTTCATTCCAGTGTTTGCTCTCTAGTAGCTGGGGCTTAATTAAGTGCATAAACTTTTAGACGGAAATACACGCATTTCCTCCTTTCTACCTCACACAAAAACACCTTTCCACCCATCTACCCTTCGACACACTCACACACACTCGCCCGTTTGCAAGTTTATGTTTAGGTCCTTTTACTCCTTTTTTAGCTCGTCATCAGTTGCTGTTGTCGCCGGTTCCTTTGGGGCAAGTTTTTGGGGCCGACGTATAAATTTGAAACGCTTTACATTGTTTACGCAATTTGCCTTGGTTACAGTCACAGTCACCAAGAGGGCATAAGTGAGGGTGTGTGTGTGTGATCCTGGTGAAGTCCTTTGCTAAAGTGTTGCAATTATATTGATTGAATTTTGTGGCAGCATGGCAAGAGCATCAGCAATATTAGCCGTACGCCACCCAGGGGAGGCATTTCGCAGTGGGCGTGGCAAGTCCTTTATCCTCAATGATAACCGATTCACACCTTTTGGCATTTGGGGAGCTTAAGTCGCTGAACGCTTCATCGCTCTAATGTGTCGGGGGATTCCTGGCAAATTGACTTCGGATATGATTGGCAAGGATATCGATTTAATCAAGGAATGTAAGTGGTATAAGAACGTTACCTAATAGTGGGAGTAACATTGTTACCCTTCTTTGGTTTTAAAAATGCATTCTTGACATTATTGGCCCATCTCCACACTTTATTTACTACTCGCGAGTCCAGTTGACCTCATTTGTATGCATTAAACTAAATATATTTACATCATAAATATCATTGGCAATATTCTGTCAGAATTTATGACATTCCATTGACTCCTTGTCAAAAACGAGCAAACAATTCGAGTATTCGTACATGATGGTAATGTCTGAAAATGTGTGAAAATGTTTAAAATATTTTTACAGATTTTCTAATTAAAATTTTTACGCTGTAAGCTTGCTGTCACAATGTTGACAGGGGCCAGGGGCAAATAAACGAATGGCTGTCGTCCGACAAACATGAAATGAATGTCTATAAAGGTGGCATCGTAATTTGCATACGCTCACTTATTATGGCATATGTGTTTATATACGTCATATGTACCTACTGGTCCCTCGAATGCCATATAAATTCAATAAACAAATAAATTAACAGAATTTGCAACAAATCAGCGGCATATTTGGTTAATTTCCGAATATGCAAGCTACCGGGGGTAACACACCATATGCAAATTGCCGCAGCTAAACTGCCAAAAGTCTGTATTGGACTCAGCATAATAAAGTGATAAAATATTTATGCAAACACAAGGGCTGTTGGTTAAAAGTGTTTCTAACGACATTTGGTTTCTCTTCTTTTATTGGATAGTTAAAAATATGTAATAATATAAAGTTAATTTGAAGAGTTGTTAGTTTTTTAAAAGAATTTCTAGTATGAATTTAATAAATGGGATTCTAGTATATGTAAAGCTCAAAATTTTAGTTTTACAAAATAAAAGATGAAATTTACTGGCTAATCTGGTTATTTAAAATATTTTTCTCATTAAGACTTTAAATACCGAATCACACTAGCAGCTCAGCTTAATCTCTGGTTAAGGTGGATCAATAATTCAGAGTGCGGATTGTGTTTCGAGGCTGTACAGCTCACCTGAATGCGATATTTGCATAGGCCGCGCATTTTGTGATTAACAGCTTCCCAAATATAATTACGAAATTCCTGATTGCATATGTATGTGAATGGATGGGTGCGTGTATTAGTGCATTGTATGGCTCAATAATTACATTGTATTTATTTGAAACAGTTTTCCGATACTAGCCATGGGTTATACCCACTCTAGAACCTCCTTCCCTCCCTTTGAAAAATTCATACATTTACCGATCCCAGCATAAATGTTCCAATTTATTTTGCTGCTAAAATCTGCGCAAACTATTTGCAATGCACACACAGCCAGGCACATCAAAATCGAGCACACTCGTACAATGTTTAGTTTGATTTGCTGCAAATTGCATGAAGTGCTGTCGGTCGGCTGAAGAGGTTTCCAAATTGTGGGGTCGGGTTACTTCATTATATGTAGTTTCAGCCATTCAGGGGTTTATCAATCAAACTACAATGTCGAGTTCATCTATGAATATTTCGTTGAGTTCGCAGTTTAATTTTATGGTTTGATTGCCTTAGTTCTATGCTACTACCTATTTTCCTATCGGTTGGCTTAACTTTGGAAGAGATAGCTAATTAGTCGCGCGTTGGCTGAGCTCCAGCTATTTGGAAAGCCCAATTAATTTTATAAATATAGTTCCTGGCGGTTGGGGATTTGAAATAAAGAGGGGGACTCCCGATGTTATAATTATTGGCATTCGTTTTTAATAACTCTTATATGTTTTAATACCAAAATGTTTCATATATACTTACAAATATTAAAAAATATGTTTACCTATTTGTGGAGGAAGAAAAAATAATACTTCACGACTTAAGAGGTACATAAACTTATCTAATACTCTATTTTAACGTATATGGACATATTACGTCTGCAATGTTTAAATATATTTTCTCAAATAATTCCCCAATCAGTCTGTGACTGTAATTCATATGCCGTTGGCTATATATATTTATTACTATTTATTGGCTTATGACTTTGACAGAAAATTGGAGACTGAGGCCATAGCAGACACAATTAAGTTCAATGTTTAAGCCGCTTAAGCTTCGACAAACAAAGGAAAACTCTCCTGGGAGGAGTGAGAAAATATGTACTCACGTAAGTATGAACTTATATAGAATTATAAGTACATAC